TCGCTTTCACGCCTACTTCGAAACTTTTGGAAGCGAAGAGTCTGATGGAGAAGTGCAGGTGACTTAAAAATGAAACTTGAAGCAGTTATGTTTAATATGAGTTCTGACGAAGTAGTGCAGACTGAAGCTTAGCTTTTATACATTTAAGAGTGGGAGATTTGACAGACGATATATCTTGTGGTGCGACAACATTTGCACGTAAGGAGTTTCAATGTGCGCTTCATTGGCAATTTTATGCAAATAGCAAGCAAATTTTGGCAATTTAAGGGCATAACATGACTATGCTTCAACGGCTGCAGAGTCTGGATCAGTTGTAAAATTTACTAGACCGTATGCCCATTATTTTTGAGAGACTTGGGAGGTTTGCGAGGTTCATGTCATTGTTGAAATCCCAGGTAAAGGCTGTTTTAATGACTGTGTCTCAGCTTGAGTGACTGGGCTCCTCGCAGCCGCCTCGCTTGGGCCTTTTGTCGAATCACTTGCCTGTCCTCGGGGCATTTCTTTACTCAGCAGCGACTGAAGACCCATGGGTTGTGCTATATTGAAGCCTGTAGTTCAAAAGTTCTACTTTTCACCACCGCACTCTAGTAAGCACTTAGAGTCATACTCGTGGCACCTTTTGCCGTTGGGTCTGCGTCTACTTACAAGCCGCAGAGCGAGGATGGGTTTGTACCTGTGAAATAATATAACTTTCTTGAAACACGTTTTTTGTGAGAGTTGACCCTGCACCTAAATAAAGATCATTCGTATTTCCAGGACAGCCGAAAAATTGCCGGCCACGCTTCCAGAGCTGCATCGAGCACAACGACTCTATCAATCAGCGTTCCATCCTGATACAGGCGATTTGCAAAATTTTGCAGGGCGCATGTGTTTCAATGTCTGGGGAGGAACGATTCTATGTGGTGCTATGATAGTCTGGTAGGAAAATCAGCTATATAGACATGATCAACGTTTTTGAAATCAGAATCGACTGTTTTGGGTATAAATCGACTCCTGCGGTCGTATTTTGGCAATGGGCAAATCAGTCTTTTAACGCATTGGTGAACTACACTAATAGAAATGCGAAAAGTGCAATGACAACTAAGGTTAGATTTTCATTCAAGAAGTTTTGATGGTTTGAAAAGCACAAGTATATTGCCAAAATGACGTTCTTTTTGAATCTTTCTTTCTTACAATCAAATGGAGCAGAATTGAGTCGTAAAAAATTTGTGTAGATTTACTTCTTACTTTACGATTGAAATAAACTACTCATAACTCAAAAAATGCATATTTCATAAAACTTCGAGTCGAAATGTTCATTTTTACGGTTTGTACTTCCTAATAACTTCAGGATTTGCTTGTGGCTTACACTACTGCCGTTGGCGGTGCCCTAGGAGTTGCAGTTGGAATGAAACAATATTTTGCAAAACGACAAGTCAGCACTTTGATGCAGAAAATGGTTCCATTTGTAGCCGTCGCTGTTGCGAACGCCATCAATATTCCACTGATGCGACAGAAGTATGAATTTTTATATTTGAAAAATTCCGAAGATCGGTAGTATTTTCCATACAACTGAAAGAAAATTATAACCGCCACATCAAATCATATATTAGGTTGTCCCATAAGTCTTTTCATATCGGTG